TTTAGATATATTTTTTAAATCAAAAAGCAGGAAAAAATGGGCAAGCATAGTAAAAGGCAATTTTCACAAAATACACACAAATAGTGAATAAAGACATGAAAAAAGGGGTTCATCCTCAGGAATCAATTTCATGGACATCAATGAAAATATCATGTTCCATATAAAATCTATTAGATTAAGAAAACAAATTTAATAATACTAATACTTTTTGGAGAGAAATTCTGGTAGAATTGTTACGCTGTGCTGGTGGCAACATACCTAAGATAAACATTTTGGAAGGCCAACATCTTATGAGTTATACAGCTATAAAGGCATTCAAACTCTTTATTTCAATAATTACCCAGTTGGAAGTGATATAAAAGAAATAACAGCACACAATTAATTTTAATGCCCCCAAATGACCTACAGACTCACCTCTGGAGTCCTTGGCTGACTCCTGAAATGGACATGAGTGGGGTGAGACTCCAAGAGGCCCAGGGAAACAACAGGTGAAAAATTGAAAGAGATAAGCAGACATTTCAGGAGCTTTCCAGTGCTGGAGAGACAGAGTTTGGAGTTCAAATTAAGCCCAGTACAAATAAGAACCAGATCCCAGCAGCAAAGGCCACATTTTAGAATGAAAAGTAAAACCGAAAGATAACCATCCTAACAATGCCTAAAAACAAAGGAACTTCCAGTAATTTATATCCTGAATGGAAAACTCACACTCTTCAGAGGAACAATCAACCACGTGGAAATCCTAACTCTGAAAAATACAATACCTGAAGTAAAAAGTTAATTGGATAAAATGGTATAGCATTCATAAAACATTCTAAAATAATAGTGTTCGCTGACATTTGCTGAGCCTGGGAGGAGTTACGTGCTTTACGTGTACTTTCTTCTACAGCGTCCCGTCTGTAATGTCTAGCATGCAAAAAGAAATCGCTAGATAGGTGAAGAAAAGAAAATGTGTCCTATGGTTTAGAAAACAATGTCCATAGAAACAGACACACATGAATAAGATACCGAAATTAGGGAAAGTACTAAAGAATGTATAGGAAATAATGAATATAGTGGACAAGCACATGAGGAATTTTAGGAGAGATACGGGAAATCTGAAAAAGCAAATGAAAATCTTAGAATGGAAAAATATAATATCTTAAAATTTTTAAATTCATATAACAGAAAAAACATATTGGACAATGCAGAAGAGTCTGCAAACTTGAAGACAGATCAATAGAAAATATACAAACTGATGCAAAGTATGACGATATATTTAAAATACATATTAGGAAAAAAATGAACCAAGTCCCCAATAATCTGTGACATGCCATCAAGTGGTGTGACACATGTTATTAGAGTGCTAGAAGGGAGAGAGGGAGACAGAGAGAGAAAGAAGGAGGAGTGGAAAATACATTGGTCAAAAGTTCTCAAAATTTGATTTAAAACAATCCACAATCCAAAAGCTCTGCAAATCCTAAGCAGAATAAATACAAGAAAATTATATCTTGGCACATTATAAGCAAACTATACAAATTAAAGAAAAATCCTTAAAGCAACCAAAAACAAAAAGACACACTGCAGACAGAACAATGATTTGAATGACGACTGACTTCTCATTAGAAAAACAGTCAAGAAGATAATGGAATGGTATCTTTAAAGTGCTAAAAAATTGTCATCCTGAAATTGTGTATCCAATGAAAATGCCTTTCAAAATTGAAGATGAAATAGAGATTTTTAGTTAAATAGAAGTACAAATGATTTGTTATTAATAGGCCTGCATTACCAGAGGGGTGAAGGCAATTTTTCAGGCAGAAAAGAAATGATATAAAACTTTGAATCGACAAGAAGTAATTAAGAGCACTGGAAATACTGTTGACCCTTGAACAAGAGGGTTAGGGTGCCAAACCCAGTATAGCCAAAAATCTTTATATAACTCTGGACTCCTCCAGAGCCTAACGACTCATAGTGTGCTGTTGACCGGAAGCCTTATCAATAACAATGAACACATATTTGGTATGTTATGTGTACTATATAATACATTCTTACAATAAACTAATCTAGAGGAAAGAAAATGTTTTTTCAAAGTGTCACAAATTAAAAAATTTTTTCCAATATGTTTATTGAAAAAAATTCATGTATAAGTGACCAATGTGGTTCAGATCCATGTTGTTCAAGGGTCAACTATAATATACAAGTGGGCAAATATACAACATTTTTCCTTTCTTGAAAGACAATTGATAACAAAAAGTAATGGATGTGTACCATGGATTTCATATCATATGTAGAAATAAAAATACATGACAAAATAGGACAAAAATGGGGGAATGGAATTATACTGTTTGAGATTCTAACATTATACATGAAGTGGTATAATATTGATTCAAGTTAGGCTGTGGTAAATTAAGAATATATATTGTAATCCCGATAGCAACTGCTTAAAAAACATAAAGAGATTCAACTAAAAGCCAAGAATTGAAATGGAATGGAATATAAAAAAATACTACTTTAATGAAAAATACAAACAAGGAAAATAAGGAGCAAAGAACAGAAAGAATAAATGAACAAATAGTAAGGTGGCAGAATTAAACCCAATTGCATCAAAAATTATATTAAACATAAATGAAGTAAATATTCCAACTAAAGGCAGAACTTTTCAGACAAAACAAAAGAAGAAGATCCAATTATATGCTGTTTAAAGTGATGCTTAAATTCACAGATACTGAAAACTGAAAGGGAAGGGATGGAAAAGATGTACCTGTGCAGCATACACTGACCATCAGAAAGCTGGTGTGGCTAAGTTAATGGCAGTTATTATGGCAGAATTCAAAATAAGCAGAGATAAATAAGATTATTTCATACGATAAAAGTGTCAAGAAGACAAAATAATCCTAAATGTGTGTATAACTGTTAACATATTTTGAAATAAACACATATTGACAAAACTAAAGAAACTAGAAAAATTCACAACCATTCACAGAGATGTTAACACTCGTCTCTCAGTAAACCAACTTTTTTACAATACAGCAAAACTCATCAAGGAGACTAGATCTAGGAGTAAGTGACATATATGGAACACTATACCAAGCACTACAGGATACATACTCTTTTCAAGAGTACATGGGAAGTTTACCAAGATCTGTGAAATGGGGAGACATAAGTCCCAATAAATTTCAAAAGACCGGAAGTGATAAACAGAGCTGGGAATGGGTGCCTGAGGCAAATGAGAGGCGTGAGTCTTTCTGGATTCTGATCTAGATTTCTCAGTGGCTTGATGCTAAAATGGTAGGAGTAAACAGTAAGAGCTGCCATGGGAATGGGGGACTACAGTTAAGGGAGTAGGTGCAATGTACAAAGAAGAGAAAAGCCGAGGATGGCTTTAAAGTTTTGGCCTGAGCAGCCGAAAGACTGGAATTGCTATTGGCCAGAAAGACAGGAAGGAGTAGATATGGGGAAATGCAGAGAAACAAGAGTTCAATTGAAGGGCACCGAGAATAAGGTTCCTACTAAATATCCAGGGTAAACCTTCACGTTGGCAAATACAGTTTTAAGTCTGCAGGATACAGGTTGAGCTTGGAAAAAGCCATGAGGGGGTTATCAGCAAATAACATACTGGTGGTACTTTAAATAGACACTACTTCCAGTCCATTCAAACCAACACCATATTCGAGACCCTCTGCCCTACAGGCCTTGGCCAGAAATCTGCATTGAAATTGAACACGATGTTCCCATGACTTGTAAGCAGATAAATGCACCCAGAAAGATGGAGAGTGGCTGTATCTCCCATGGGCAACCCAGAGACATAAGCCAAAACGCAGGCCAAGTTACCAACGTGCATCCGGGAGCCTGATCTTGTGCCTATTTGCTGCCTAAGAAAGACAAAGAATCAAAATTACAGTTTTCTGTCTCTCCCTACCATCACACCGCCGATATTAAAGGGATTGTGAAATGGAAGCTCTGAAAGATCTAGACCTCAGTTTAAGACCACATGACACCTCAGAAATATCAGAAATGTTTGTGATTTTCTGGAAGAAATACAATGTCCCTGCAGATCACTTTCAAATGCTGATCCAAGGCAAGCATGATTCTGGTTAACACATGAAATGTGTGTTCTGCTCATCTTCCTTTGATTCTCCAGGAAGATTGATGGAGTGATTACACTCTGGAGAAGCGGGTTAGGAAACTGTATTGGAACTTATTAAATATGACACGCGGCAACTTTTCAATTTTGTTTAAACCTGTGCTTGAAAATAATTACATTTTAATGGAATTTGTAAATATCTTAAGCCACTTAAGTGAACCACAGGGAATTCTGATGCACCATAATTGTGTTGAATTTGATAAGCTACATTTTCTTGAAGTGGGAACTCACTGGCATTTTCCACAGGATGAGGGAGCCGGAAGGTTTGTAAAGCATGTGTAGGTGTCTTTTTGTTTACAGGTACATCAACAGTGATAAAAGTAACTGTTTAATGATATACAAACATATCCAATTATGGGCAATTATTATCCTTTGCCCTTTCTTATGGTTTATAATGTCTTCTTAGCCATCTTTTTCTCCCCTGGGCAACCTATCCTTCAGTCTGCAGGTACCACGATCATTCTAAAATGACAGCCTGGCCACATCACCCCCAGGTTAAATCTAGCCTCTCCTCATCTGCCACTACAGGCCCCGCCTCATGGGCAGTCAGACAGAAAAGCTGTGCTCGGAAGGGCCCTGCGCTTGATCAACCCCTGGGGTTGCTGTCTTTTATCTCTGAAATGTTGCTTTGTATGGAACTGCGAAGGAGCACCCACACCAGCAGAGGTGCTCAGTAGGGGTGTCCCCCACTCACATTCTGGGTAGCCTTTGTCATGCTCCCTGAGCACAGAATTCTGGGGGAACCACCATGTGTGGAGGTTCAGCAAGGCTACTCCTGAGTAGGCAGGGGCACTGACAGCCCCAAGAGCCTCTGCTCCAACCAGAAGCAACCGGCTTCAAACACAGAAAGAGGCTCTCATGACCAAGAGACCCCACCTACCCTTCTTACTTGCGTCAGGTCCCTGTGCTGGCTGATCACTCCACTGAAATGGTGCCGCGGAAGGAAAAGGAAAGAGAGGGCAACCACGGGTTCCTTCTCCCCTCAGCCTCCCCTTGCTCATCGGCAGCTGAAGGCAGAGTTTCAAGACCAGAAATGATACTGGTTGAGTTAATCTTGTGCAACGTTTCTGCTGTTCTGGTAAGAGGAAAATACACATGCGTGTGTGTACTCTGGAAGCGGACTTGTGTAATTTTGGTAAATTCCACATATGAGTTCAATGCTGTTGCATTTGCATTTAAAACTGGCATTGCACAGTGGTAATTTCCACTAAGAATGGTAAATGCCACTAAGGGAAGGTACAAGAGAAGATGGCTCTGAGCAGAGAGCTCTCACAGCGCCTGGGTCCACCGGGGTCCAGAACTGTAAGGAATAAACGCCTGTTGCTCACGCACACACACACCCCAAGTGTGGTATTTCTGGTAATGGCCTGAGCTGACTTAAGACACGTGGCATGACATTCCAGGCTCTCTAATGCCCCTCCTTGGCCTGAGTCCACAGCCCCACCTGGAAGGCTCCCCCCAGACACCGCCACCACACCCACAGCCCGTTTACTCTGGGCTACCGAGCACCTTCCACTCTGTCCGCCCGCTGTGCCTCTACACATGCTGTCACTGCTCTGAAGGGCCTCCCCACCCCATCTTCCTGGCCCTTTTCCTTCCTTCCCACATGACCACCCCCTTCAGTGCTGCCTGTCCCTCCCGCAGGACCCATCTCAGAAACTGCCTTTTCTGGAAGCACTTCCCGGTCATGGTTTGGGGCCTCCTCTGCAACATTGCATTGAAGTCACAATATAATGGTAAAACTAGGTGTATTCATTTCCTAGGGCCTCCATAACAAAGTGACATAAACCAGGAGGCTTAAAACAACAGAAATGTATTCTCTCACAGTTCTGGAGCTGGAAGTCCTAGACCAAGCTTCTGGCAGGGTTGATTTCTCCTGAGAGTGTTGGGGAGAATCTGTTCCACGCCTCAGTCCCAGGGCCTGGGGACTGCCTGCAGTCTTGGCTGTGCCGTGGCCTGTCGCTCTGTTCGCCAGTCTCTGCCTTCCTGTTCACATGGAATTCCCCCCCGTGTGCATGTCTGCCTTGTGTCCAAATTTCCCCTCTCTATAAGAATGCCAATTCTATTGGATTCCAGCCCATACTAATGACCTCAGTTTAACTTAATTACATCTGTGTCTCTAAATAAGGATATGTTCTGAGGTCTTGGGAGTTAAGCTTCAACATACTTATTTTGGGGACTCAATTCAATCCATTGCATGAGGTATCCAGAAGTCTTTTTCTTTTTTCCCCTCAAACACTTATGATGAGGAACATTTTCTAAAAGATACAGCCCAGTACCTAATGCTCCCTAAAGCCCCACTCCAGCCCCCAAGCTCTCCGTAGGGGCTGCCAAGAGGTTTACAAAAACAAGACTCAAAAGTTGGCTTGACCCCTTTGAAAACCTGAATTGCGTAATTTTGGTAAATTCCACTTTTGAGTTAAATGCTATTGTATTTCACCAGGGGCAGTGACCACCAGCAAGAAGCCAGCCATTCCCCAGTCACTGGCCCCAAACGACTCGCAGAGTCAGGCTTTGGAACACAGGCCTTGACCTTGCTGACAGGAGTAATGGGCGTTCAGGCAAGGGAGCTTTGAGGGCAGAGGCTGACGGAGCAGGCTGTTCCTGAGGAGAATGGAAATGAGAAAGAACCTCCTGACAGCAGGGACTGGAAGTTAGCTGGGAGGCTGTCAGCAGTCAGAGCCACCTTCTTGGGGCTGATGCAGCAGCCAGCCCGACTGCCCTCTTATGTTACATGTGATGTAACTTTTATGTTACATATGACATAAACATATACATTTATGCTGCCATGTGCAAGGCATCCTCTCAGGTGCTTCCCACTGTATGAACCACTTGACACCCATNCTTCTGTACAGCAAAGGACACCATCAAAAGTACAAAATGGTATCCTCCAGTATGGGAGAACATATTCATAAATGACAGATCCGATAAAGGGCTGACATCCAAAATATATAAAGAGCTTACACGCCTCAACAAATAAAAAACAAATAATCCAATTAAAAAATGGGCAGAGGAGCTGAATAGACAGTTCTCCAAAGAAGAAATTCAGATGGCCAACAGGCACATGAAAAGATGCTCCACATCGCTAATCATCAGAGAAATGCAAACTAAAACCACAATGAGATATCACCTCACACCACTAAGGATCACCATCATCGAAAAGACAAACAACAACAAATGTTGGCGAGGCTGTGGAGAAAGGGAAACCCTCCTACACTGCTGGTGGGAATGTAAATTAGTTCAACCATTGTGGAAAGCAGTATGTATGGAGGTTCCTCAGAATGCTCAAAATAGAAATACCATTTGAACCAGGAATTCCACTTCTAGGAATTTACCCTAAGAATGCAGTACTCCAGGTTGAAAAAGACAGATGCACCCCTATGTTTATCTCTGCACTATTTATAATAGCCAAGATATGGAAGCAACCTAAATGTCCATCAGTAGTTGAATGGATGAAGAAGATGTGGTACATATACACAATGGAATATTGCTCAGCCATAAGAAAAAAACAGATCCTACCATTTGCAACAACATGGATGGAGCTAGAGGGTATTATGTTCAGTGAAATAAGCCAAGCAGAGAAAGACAAGTACCAAATGATCTCACTCATACGTGGAGTATAAGAACAAAGGAAAACTGAAGGGACAAAACAGCAGCAGAATCACAGAACTCAAGAATGGACTAATAGTTACCAAAAGGGAAGGGACTGGGGAGGATGGGTGGGAATGGGAGGGATAAGGGCGGTGAAAAAGAACGAGGGCATTACGATTAGCATGTATAGTGCGTGGGGGACACGGGGAGGGCTGTGCAACACAGAGAAGACAAGTAGTGATTTTACAGCATCTTACTACGCTGATGGACAGTGACTGTGAAGGGGTATGTGGGGGGGACTTGGTGAAGGGGGGAACCTAGTAAATATAATGTTCTTTCTGTAATTGTAGATTAATGATACCAAAATAAAAAATAAAAAAAAAAGTAAAACCATTCAAGAGAGAAAAATGCACTAAATAATTAATAGTGCAGGTAATGCATGGCTATGGTAAAAAATAATATTAATAATTCTGCATGTGGGATGCAAATAACTGTGTTTTGGGAAAGATGGCCCTGAGGGAGAGAACTTTCCAGCTGTACAGAAAGACGTGAAATGAAGCACTGCAATGTTATCCTCTCCAAACCCCAATATTCTCAGGTATAAAGTGAAGCTAACGTTCTCTCTCTTACAGTGATCAAGTAAACCTGTGCATGGAAACTGGTCCACAGAAAGTGTTTCTTAAATATAATTGTTATATTTCTCTTTTCCCACACTACCTTGTCTTGCCAATGGATTTCAGCCCCGGGCAAGTTCACTATGGATTCAGTGAAACCGAAAAATGACAATGGAATGTTTTTGGGGTGAAAGGTTATACCCAACTTTATTCCCATAGTGGCAGGTCAATCACTAGGATCCCGTCCACTCACAGTGAGTCTGCACGCAGCAAGCCGGTCTCGGCCTCTGGGCCTCTCTGCCCCCACAGCGTCTCAGTTTCTGTCCTCGGCGCTGCCACCACTCCCGCCTCTGCTCTCCTCTCCTGCAGCCTTGCAGCCGTGCCACCGTGTCACCCAGAACACTGGGCAGAGCTATGAGTCAATAACAACGTATTGCCCACATGTGTGTAGTGAGCTAGCCGACCAGGGCCAGGTGAGAATCCTGGCCACAGGGACCTTCACTTTATCCACATACCTCCTCCAGATACTGAAAGGGCACCCCTTCCCTTGCATAGTTTATGGTGATTTTTCTGTCTTTGCTGACAAACACTAAAGAACAAGCAGCTACAATGACAGACACACTGTAAAGCTGTGGGACCCACACTAGCCACTACAAGAGTCACAGGCCCTGTCCTCATGGGGGAGGCAGACAGCAGTGAAGACCTCACACGGACACACGTAGAACCACAGTGGTGATAAAGACAGCAAGGGAGCATGCGGTGATCCGAGGGGTCTTGACCCAGTAGCGAATCAGGCAAGGCACCCTGGAGCAGGCTGAGTGGGGGGTCATAGGCCAGGTGGGGTATGCACAGCATGCCAGGCAGAGGGAACAGCACATGGTAGGGCCCTGGAACAAGAGGGGGTGTGGAACTTAGAAGAACTGAAGAGTGTAAGTAACAACACTGGTTATAAGAGAAGCAGCTGACTGCATGGACCACAGCCACGTGCCAGGGTGGGGCTGAGAACGTGCAGTGATTTAACTCGTGCAGAAAGGGGAGCATGAGAGGAGACAGGTGGGACAGGTGGGCAGGCTCACACCCACACAGGGCCCTGAGGGCTGAGTTACAGGCCCGAATCTTTACCCTGCAGGCAACAGAAGCCATGAAGGGGCTGAGCGTGGAGGAGCTGAGCTGAACTAACAGGATCGTACTCAAGCCAGAAACCTCCAATCCTGGCTGTTGGGCAGAGGACTCGCCATAGGGCAGGAGAGAGACGGGGAGATGGGAGGCAGCGCATGGGTCCCAGTGAGGCGGGTGGTGGAAGAATGTGAACCTGACTGAGGTCATTTTGAGTTTCAGGTATTAATTCTTTTGAGACACCCAAGTGGAACTACACAGAGGAACACAGATTTGGAACCCAGAGGAGAAACAGTAATTAAGGAAACGGATTACTGAGTCACCATTATCTAGGAGTATGCACCAGGTATTGATGTATCATCTCTCCTCTCCAAACCCACTGCTTTGTGACACTGGAGCAGGACCCTGTAGCCGGTTCGGCGTTTCCAGTTGGCTTCATGTTAGGCATCACCAACAGAGGGCGCAAGAGAGACCCTGCCAGGCCAGCGTGGGAGGCAGGGCCTTGCCCTCTCTTTCCAGGCGCTCTTTTCCACCTGGCAGCCAATGACCTGGTGTGCAGGGGGCCAGCAGCCCTGCCCTCAGCAGCCCTCGTGGACAGCGGCAGCCAGCACCCTCCAGCAAGTTCCTCTGCTGCCCAGTAGGCTGCCTGTCCTCTGACAACCAGGCCCTCTCCGAAGCGATCCTTGTTTCTGAGTTCTGTTCACGCACC